GTGTCTACAGCGCCCTCGCGGACGGAGGGGTGGCTTTGAGAGGAAGGAACGAAAGGAAGAAGAAGATTACACAGATAGGAGCTTTATAATTTGTATTGTGGACGCCTACAGGAAGGGCCGCAAAATAGGTGTCTGTCTTAGGAAAAAGACAAAAATTTCAGAAGAAAAAGGTAATGTACCAAAAATTAAAGAAGAAGATTGAAATTATTGCCAAAAGTCATAGTATTCTACATACTGGAGCTGGGATAGCGCAGAACCAAAATGTCGGAATTCGAGTTCCGGTAAGGAACAAGAATTTTCTCTTCTCCAAGTCGTCAAAACCGGTTCTGGGACCCAACCACCATACTATGCAATGAGTACAGAAGTGCTCTTTCCCCGGGGTAAAGCTGCCGGGGCGTGAAGCTAACCACTCAAATCCGGCTTGTGTCGAGGTCAAGAAAACATGGATATATACATCCACTCCTCCATACGCCTCCATGGCGTAGTGCTTAGTTAAGCACATTGATAACTTTACCTTTTTTTATTCTATCTACTGCAGGGTGATTAATAAAGATATCCATATAACGGCCTGAACATAAGTTTATAAGCTAATCCTCTGGCTATCCCCGCTGGAAGGAATCTTTTGTGAAATTAGACCCCCTGGACGGGTGATCAGCCCCTAGCAAGGCCGTTACGTACACAGAACAACACAGACAGAATAAACGCGGGCAGACATCATTGCCTCGAGCGGGATTCGAGCCGACGATCCCTGTACTCGAGTAGGCGAAGACGTTGGCTGCGCCAGTTTTGCTATTGACGAGGTATTCAGATGTTTGAAGGAAACATCACGTGTTTTAACGGGAATATCACTTGAGATGATGAAAATGATATTATTCGTAAATTTTATGTGGAAACGTGTATAAATATTATGACAGGCAGACCGCTTAGCAGAACACGGGATATGTTGTTTGTTTGTTTGTTTTTTCTTGTTGAGTGTTTCGATCCTTCTTTCAGCCCGGTTATTAATCTCCTGTTATTGAATTCTCTTGGAAATGTTAACAAAAAATCGTTATTATGCTACAGACTCAATTACAGAGAAACAGGGCTGTCAAAAGTTATGAAACGTGTCATTAATTATTGATTATTAAAGTGTTTATTGATCTGATCTCTGATCTGAGATGATTATGAATTGAGAATTTATAATAATTAGGAAGTAGGCATTCGTGGACTACTTCAAATATTCTTTCATTTTGTGTCAGCGGCCAGACTGTGTGGCGTCAAAGGTCGGATCGATTGATGAATTATAAATTCGAAGGAATCAGTCGTGACGTAATCGACGTACTATCCCAGAATTTGCTCGAGTGACTGAGGTAAACGCCGATAAATTTCCGCCAGGACACCCCGTGTCCCCGGGCAAGATACGAACAACGGACTTTTCGACTACAAGCCTATACAATTCCTGCTGCGCCACCTCATTCAGCTTGCTTAATTAAGCACCATTCAATCAAGATGTATAGGGGAGCGTAGGTATAGATCCATGTACTCTTTACCTCATCACTATATGGAGTTGAGTGTAGAACTTCACACTCCGGTCGCTTTGCCCCTGGCACATCTGAAATGGAAGGGCTCGGGTGTCCCAAGGGAGGGATATTTGTGCTGTCCTTGCTGAGGTAACAATCCTGATTCCTAGGTCGCCCAGCCCGGCGATCTAACAAACTCCGTGCATTTAGTCCGCAAGCGAACTATACTGACCGAGCAACCGCCGCTTGTCGGCGAAGATAGTACCAACTTTAGCGGACAGAGGGTGTCGTATGGTCAGCGCAACGAATCCCCACGGCCGTTACTTTCGGTTTTCTAGACCGGAGCCGCTATTTCTTTGAGGAGCCGCTATTTCTTTGAACTAGCTCCTCAATTATCCTGACGAGGCTGAGTGGACTCCGTTCCAGACACACTACTTCTCAGAAAAATATTTGGTAGTTCCGGGAATCGAACCCGGATCTCTGGATCTGTAGCCAGGAACGCTGACCACTAGACCACAGACGGTCCACGGCATCATATCACAGAATGAAATTAACATAGTCACCACTGCCTTAACTTCTTATCTCGTGTGTATTCTTATAAAGTGTGGAGTTTATATTGATTTAAGTTTTTGACAGCCCTGCTAATGTTTGTGATGGTAAATGGGTTGGCTTCGTTCACGATTGATGACCCAGTGTTCATTTATTTGCCGTTGTCAGCGCGGCTGAGGCACATTAGAGCGTCGTGAGGCTTCTTAGTAACTGTTTATTGATTAGCCTAAGTTCCTCTTAGCTACTGAAAATTATGGCAAGGCGAAGCCCGGATGTCGTGACGCTTAATCTAAAAAAAGGGCATAAAAACTTCTTTCATATATTAATAGAGGTTAGGTGCCTGTATGCATCGTTAGCTACGCCGGTATAGTGAATCAGGGGTTTCACAGTGTAGACTTGTAGCATGGAATACCACCTAGCTGGTTGGTGTAGCGTCATAGTTCTAGACTCGTATTTGCAGGCTGTCCCTTGCAATTTATGTTGTGAAACCGAGCGTTCTGACTGATTTCCCTCAGAACCTCAAGAAAATGTGTGAATATTTTTGAAATAGGTCACAACCGGTTCCATATATATTATTCCTAACTCTTCGTTCATCTGTTACGTTACCCTCCGATGCTGTATAACGCAGCTATTGACAACGTCGTTAAATAACCAATAAAGAAGTGTGGGACACCTTCATAGACTTCCTCCCTGTGGATAGCAAGATAGCTTGCATACATCCCCCATTCCATATCATCACATCTCCTTCTACGTCTAGTCAGTTACTGTCTACAAGCTTGTGGTGTTTAAAAGCGTAATTGAGTGACAGGTCTGGATCTACTGCCCTGCAACTGCGCCTGTCTTAGCCACCAAAAGGGAAACGGATAAACAAGGCGAGAATAAGGAAGAAACAGAGTACAAAAATATGAATGAAATAAAAGAAAATTAGGAAAAAGATCGCGTAATTGTGCAGGTCACGTCACTGAAGAAGGAAGAGCAGAGAAAGCGGAACAAGATTAAGAAGAATACAGTGAAACGACAGGGCGAGGAAAGAGATGAGTGAGCTAATTAGAAGATTACAAAAATGTAGTAGTAGCAGTAGTAGTAGTAGTAGTAGTAGTAGTAGTAG